TATACCTATAGGTACCGTATGTATTTGTTGGTGACAAAGCAAACAGTGTAAACAGTGTATTTGGTTTTTTTTTGTTTTAATTACAAATTTTAGTTATATAGGTACCTATACTGTTTAATTCTATATGTGAAAAATAATATTGTGGTAGGTAGATTATTTTGAATTTATCGATTTATAGATTTTATTGGTGTGTACCTATACTATACCGTCCATACAGTTCATGATGTTGTGTTTAATCAGATACGTAATTAATAGGTACGTAACTATTACATATTATTTTTATAAATAATTGTATTATAAATAATAATTTTATTAATTGTTGAAAATTACAAAAAATAAAAATAAAAATACTGTACAAACACTAAATTTAGAAGAATTCGTCAGGAAAACTATATTAACTATACCTATTATTTATATTATTATAATAATAATTACACATTACCATATTATTCTAAATATTAATTAATTAATTAACTTGAATAATTGTATATCTATTTATGTTCTACATTAAGAAATCTCTATAGGTACCTATATTAACATATTACATTTATTTTTAACTATTATTACAATATCAACTTAAAACTTACATTTATGGTTTTCCTCGGTTTGTCTTATAATATACTTATTTGATCAAAATATAAAATAACTTTTATACTTATACTATAATAAATAATGATGATATTAGTGCACACTTGCCAATGTTAGCAATGTATGTACCTACTTATTATTTAGTTAATTTAATGTAGGTAATAACTAATAACTATAAAATAAATTAATATAATAAGTAGTTATTAATTGGTCACATATCTCCATCATCGTATCACATATAAATTCAATAGGTACATCCGTATACAATTATATAATTGCTATGCTCGATGAAGTTTTTTTAAATAAAATAATAATTAAATACAGAAGCACTGGATTTGGCTCAGGAACGTGAAAAAGACGTTCGAATATGACGAACGAATTTGGCTCAAATATTAATTAAATCCTTTGAGCATGACACCGAGACCGACAATCGCTGGCTCGCGGTTTTCGTGGCTCGCGAGCGAAAAAATTCAAACCGAGCCGCTCAGCTCACCGTTTACACACGCGAGCCGCTCAGTGCTCATGTGTAAACGCAGCTTTACGTGAACCTCACGAGCCGCCACTGATAGTCCTTATAAAAGAATAATACTATAAATAAACGTGTTTACACGAATCGACTATCGAGTATCGATGTATCATGGCATACAGCATAATAAGGACATTTCCACGAAAAACCTAAGCCCCCAGTTATTCTAAAAATAATCAAAATATTATTCTGTATGTGTCCGCCACGCCGGTCCGCGTCGTCGCGTCGAACATACGATAAACTGTTAACGATTATTAGTAATGGCGAATCTGTAGTCAGTAGTATATATTTGTATGTTCACAGCCAGCTTTTCCAGGGAAAAAAAAAAAGTTCAAGCGGGGAATGTCCCCTTGGAGCACTCAGATTTACCGTGTAACACATTTCACACTGATTGTCTACCAAATTCTACCTCGTAAAAATATTTACAGTATTTCATTTCTACTCATGTTGGTTACACTGTTTTTTTATCTAAAATAATCAAACGGTCGTCTTGCTTTTAATAGTCTGACGCTTCGGATCGGTTAGTAATTTGTCAAATATGGTTTGCATTGCCTCATTAAGACCAGTATGAAGCGTTTGATCTTTTGATTCATCGCTTGTATACAATCTGACAGTAGCTTCACTGAACTTCCATCTATAACAGCAAATTATTTTATTTTAAAAACAAAAGAAGTAAATAAAATCAGTGAAAAAAAAAAACAGATTCATCAATAGGTTTTTTAAATTTAAACCAATGTATTTACCTGTCTTTTACTGGTACATTCTCAATGTTAGCAACCTTATAGTGGCTAATTACCCAAAGCTCCTTTGCTTTTTCTTCAAATGGTGACTTGCTTGTTACAACACCACCATCCCCTTGTCTAAATGTTAGCGACATTAATTAACTCGACATCAAATTCTTCTGATCTCAAACGTTCGGTAACATTATCTCTGTATGATGCATTCTATAAAAAAAATTAAATTATTTATATTACCATTTTATTCTGCTTTTTTTCATAGGTTTTTTCGCACTTGTTTTTTCTGCAGTACGTTTTAGACCAAGTTTTGTTTTTGAAAAAGACGGTCTCATATCAATTGATTCGCTGAAATGTTCATTCTATGAAACATAAAACATAGTATATTATTTTTTACTATTTTTTCATTTTATATTTTATATGTTCCAAGAATTATAACCAACGCGTTGAGTAATGTCACGACTGACCTCCAATATGCTTTAGTTACTATATAGTTTTTTAAACTATGCTATAATCAGGCATTTAATATTATTTTAAGAATTATAACCATAGCGTTGAGTAGTGTTACTACTGGCCTCCAATTAGCTTTGGCTATAAGATATTTACTAAGTAGTTACTAACCTCTGAATCAGTTGAAGCAATTGTACGGTACGACATCTTTTTTGGTAGTATCTCTGTTGAACTGAGCTGCTTGTCCTGGGATGAAATCTTGAAGACTGGTGAATATTAGTGAATTCCCTCTGTCTTTTATACACAGATTTTGCCGCTACTAAAATAGAATAATAACAATGTATCTTTGTAATATAGCTTTATAATATTACTATGAACGTTATCATGTATGTATGACTTTAGATAGAAATTCTATCTAAAACCGTGCTTACAAACTTAAAGATATTTCATCAGATCAGATTATATAAAATAAAAACCATTAGAATAAAAGTAGTGGTTTAAGACAGTTTCTCAACTCTCACTTTTAGTTACTATCATATAAGCTGTTTTCTTTTTTGTAAAGTTATGTTTAAATAAAATAAATAATACGTTATAATTATGTGACTGTATGACCACACTCCACGATATAGAAAACTGCTGTATCAATGTATCATAGATTTACATAGATAAGATAAAACATCGGGCTTATCAACCATAGATAAAGTGTTTAAATTTTTTTGAGGTTTTAAGGGTTCCATATTATCACGAACTAAGATATATTATCTTATAGTGTTTTCCATATGACTGCACCAGTGCGGTTAGTTGCACGTACAGCGTGCAAATGATAACACACGTAATCTTGCTCAGTGCAGTCAATTTAAGGAGCATCTGAAACATAATTCATCAAATGATTATGATGATATTTCATTTTTGATAACTAACAATCTATATTCTTTTTTTAATTTTTCATTGCCAGATTGAGTGAACAGAGTGATTGTTTTGCAATGTTTTCATCAAATAACAATTCTTATGATAAAAGTAAGTAAATGTTAATGTACGCTAAAACTTAACTAATGACTAATTGTTAAATTACCATGTTTGTCATTTGCTGCTGTTGAAAGTTGAAGCTTAGATGGACCAATAACTTAGTATTAATATAAATAAATAACACGACAATTTGATTATGTATAAGTATAATATAATATATTATATGTAACGTACAACTTGAACAATTATTTGTGACTATACATACCGTATGACGGTGTCAGTGCAAGTGGTTTTTACATACATTGAAAGGCCCTATATATATGTATTATTGAGGTCACTCTATATCTGTATAACAGCTGCGACTTTCAGATACCTATAGCCAACACCTACATTTTGTAGATGCATGTTATTCAGCTATGATTTTTTATTTGTAATCTCTTAAATATTAATATTTGGGTATTGCTTCAATAATATTATAATATTTAAGAAATATTTAAAAAATGTATTATTGTAATATAAACATGGAGGATTGGGGTTAAACTCTCAAAAACATGTAAAGCTCCCTTATAAACTTTAGGTTAATTTTTCTGAAACATATGAAAATACATATTTAAAATTGCCTTTACACTTAAATTCATTAATATATTTTATATTTTACAAATTATTACATTATGTAGGTTCTTGTATATGATTTTTTTGATTATAAATAGGAAAAAAAATTACATTTACTTAAATTTGAGTTAAACAATAAATATAATTTGAATTGTATTGTTTAGATGACAAAGTATTATCTACACAGAATCAGAATGCTACAGCATTGTGGACTGATGGAATAACCAGATATATGCTTGAAAGGTATGCCAAGTGGATGAATTTTATTGGGCCAATGAAAAAGTTCAAAAAAAAAGTTGATATGTGGAAGCAAATAGCAACAGACATCGACAATGAACTTGGAGTAAAATTTTCATTTATCCAAGTTGAAAATCGCTACAAAACCGTTTGTAAAAGAAAGAAATTAGTAATAAACAATAATAAGCAAACTGGCACATCTCGTATGGATGATACATTTGAAAGTGAATGGAATCAAATTACTAATAATGACGATAGCATTCTACCGGAAGTTTTACGTAATACTACAAATGTTGTGATAAATAAAAAAGATTTTGAGAACAAGCCTAAAAAAATGAAAAAAGAATCTCCGCAATTATTATTATTAGAATTTTTAAAAGAAAAAGAAATTCAAAAAGAAAGAAGACACCAGGAAAAAATGGAATTAATTAAAAAACTTTTTGAAACATAGTCAATATTTTATATATTATTAAATTATTTGTTGTATTATAAGCACAAAACGGTATTAATTATATTTTTAGTTGTTAAATGTATTTATATGAGTTAATTTTTTTGTTATGATCTGCATTAGTTTTTATTTTATGTTAAAGAATAAATACCTACATAAATGTTACATTAAAAAAAGGGAATTTTATTATGTTTTATATTAAATTTGTTATTAAGAAATAAGTTTATTTTTTTGTTACATTGTGTTTCATTAAACTTTTTGTTAAATTTGTTAGTAATAAACTCTAATAACAAGCAAAGTTATTTACAAAGATATAATATAGGAAATAGAATTTGTTTTGTTATAAATTTTTAGTTTAAAACATTATATATTAGTTGCATAGGTAATTAAAGTTTTTATTAGTTAAATATTTTACAATGCATGAATAAAATATGTAATTTCACATAAATTGTAAACTATTTTGTATTGCTTCACGCTTTCTTTCACCATTTCTTTTGAGTATCATTTCTGAATCCATTATATTATCTGGTTCTTCGACTACACTCAAATCATCTTCATCGACATCTTCAGGTATAATGTGGTCATTCATATCAATGCATAAATTGTGTAATACACATGATGATACAATAAATTTTGTTATTTTATCTACAGAATGAATGTCTAATTGCAGCAACTGTCTAAATCTAGATTTTAGGAGTCCAAATGAATTCTCAATCAACACTCTAGTTGCACAAAATCTTTTATTAAAGTATCTCTGGGTTTCCGTTAACCTTCCATAATCTTTGTATGGAATAAGCAACCACTCTCGTAAACTGTATGCACCATCACCAATTAAATGAAATTTTTTATCACATTTAATTGGGAGCGTTTTGCTCAAATCTGATAATGCAAACACTCTAGAATCATGTATTTTACCAGGGGCACCAGTAAATACATCAACAAATCTCTTTTTGTAGTCACATACACCTTGAAGAGTAATTGAAGGTGTGTCATGCCTATTTGTATAGGTACTTTTTATTTTATGAGCAGGAGTTCGGATTGGAATTGAAGTTCCATCAATACATCCAATAACACCTGGTATTCCTGATATCTACATTAAAATAGATATATTTATTAACTAATTGTACAAAATGTTAAATGCAATTAAAAGAATTAAAAAATATAATGACTTTGTTGTAGTGATCTCTCACCACTATAGGGAGCAGATTTTATTGTAAATACAATAATACATATTATTATTGGAATAAGATATTTTAAATCTGATAAAAAATGTGTACCGTTTAGATCATTCTAAACTAATTATTTCTAATTAATTTTAGTTAAAGAATTATTTGCATATATATCTAGGAAAAATCATGCACTAAAACACTTAGAAATAGGTATTTAGAGATACATATTATAGGACTGTCGATGTAGATCGTTTGTTCAGTGAGAACAAATCAGTATGAATAATATATGAAAATCATAAAATAAATGTATGAAATTAACAAACCTTTTGAAATTCATGTATGTTGAACAAATATCAATCAAAAAATCCATAACTCTGTTATTAATACGGTACTGGGTAGTGAGTCCTACTCCAAAACGTTCCGATACATCACGTAGACTACATTTGTTTGCAGAAAACCTATACATGGCACATCATTTTTTTACGATACAAAAACATAAAATAGGTATTGTGTAGGTAGTAATATACTATAAATATGATAAAATATGAGTCTCTGGAGAACAAACTGTAATTGTGTAAGGAATCTCTTTAGGAAAAAATTTGGATTCTTCAAATTTGCCTATGATAAAATAGGCAGTAGTTCGTTCCATTCGAAAATGATTTTTAAACTAGAAGCATAAAAAACAATGTAGGTTAACACTATAATACTACGCAAACTATTAATACATATATTATTTTTACATGTTGATCGGAATAATTGTGTACAACATCTATTATATAATTGCCAATTGGATATTTTTGGTTTAATATTTTTTAGAGTTGTATTAAAAATGAATTCGATAACATCCTCATCTTCGTCATCACTACTTGATAAAAAATATAAAATTGCGGCTTTCTTTGGCTCATTCATATTCATATTAATATTTTAATTACAAATTCCCTAGTATATTTGTACGAACACATACGTTAAATTAACTATATAGTATATTAAAATAATGAATATTATATTAGAATATTATATAGGTAATATATAATATATTAGGAAAATAGGTTTCAATTTCAAATATCAACGTTTATTGTTTATTTGTTTATCAGAATCAGAAAATTAATAAAGTTAAAAGATGTATAATCTATAAAAGATAAGGTGCACCGTCATGAAGAGCTCGTGCGATTATCACTGCACTGAGGGCAAGAAACTGGCCGAGTGCACGCATATGGAACATAAAAATCCGCACTAGTTGTGCACTAATATTTCATATGAAACATAAAATAATTGCACCAGTGCAATAGTGCAGTCATGTGGAAAACGCTATTAGTTCATGCTTATTATTGATAATTATTGTAACTTAACCTCAAAATCTGACTGCACTAGTACACACTGATAGCGTGATTTTCAACGGTGTGGTCAATTATGTGATTATGGAATCAGTGTTCACGTGTAGTGTGTACTAGTACAGTCAGATGGAAAAACGCTATTACGGTTATCTATAGTTTATCAACGTTGAAATACTTTCGCTGATTATAAATATTTGGTATTGATAATGTGATAGTTGTATTCATGAAGATTAGAGCTGATAAGGAGACCAAACTCCTATAGCCGCTCGTTTATAAAGCGCCCTGTCAAATAAGTCGCACGGTTATTCTGCCACCAGGAGCTCTCTAATCTTCATGGTTGTATTATACGTGTAATATTATTTTACATAAAAAAGGTTTAATTTAAAAAAATATTCAATAATGTTTACTATCTGTATTTAATTTTAGATTTATATATTATATTTTTATACTAATGTATTCAGGTAAATTACAGATAATGAATTTTTGGTATACATATGATTATTGTCGTGAACAAATTCAATATTATGAAGAACAGATTGTAACATTAACGAAGATAATTGATGAAAATAAAATTAAAGAGAGATACGAATATAAAGATCTTAAAAAAAAAATTAGAAACCTCAAACATAATATTTATTTAAGTAGAACAAACTCTAAGCCGAATTTTTCTTATATAAAAGAGTTAAATGCTAAATTAATTTTACTAAGAGAAAAAAAAATAGATATATATCGAAAATATAGTGATTTATATGTTACAAATTTTCGAAGACGAGAACACTGTTTTGGTAAAAGATTAGATTTTATTACAACAGCAGAATCTAAGCGCGAAAGGTTTAGATCAGGTTAAAAAATTTTTTTTTAAATTATGAATAATTAGTAAATATAATATAAATTTATATTTATGTACACAGGTAATCAATGTTTTTTTTTTATAGTTTATAATATAGTATTGTTGTTTTCTTTACGTTATTATTAAATTATTCATTAATTTCTATAAACTAAATATAATCATTGAAAACTATAGCTTGTACATGATCTGTCATCATAGTTAATTTTTATTTTGATATAAATGTTTATATTATATTTGGTTTCATAAAATATTATAAGCATTTATATATGAACTAACCTCAATAAAGAAACATTTATATTTATATATTTATTTTTATTTATATATATATATATATATAAATATATAGGTCAGTCAGAGTGATTAATCACTACCTCAGAAAAATCACGAGAGCTGTTGAGATCTGCGACAACAAACAAATATATGAATGTTTATGCAAACTTTTGAAACTTCCGATGACTATGGAACTTTTAGCAGCCACTGAAATTGGTCGAGTAGTCAACAAATTAAGAAGCAGAGGTGGAGTCGTAGGCAAATTAGCAGAAAGAGTGGTCATAACATGGAAATATGTTGTAAAAAAAGAGTTAGCCGAGCAATATTTTTCTAAGGAGAACTTTAGTCCTTAAGAAATATCAATAAATTATGATTAACATGTAATATTTTCTTATATAAAAAGTTAAATATAAAATAAAATAATAAGTAAAATGTCTATATATATTATTTTTAAGACTTTGGATCACGCGTTCCGCGATTGCACATTTAATAACACTGTATGAACTGTAATGTTTAATTTTATATTTTTTCATTAAATCTTGAAATTGAGCATTGTAAAATTCAGTACCATTATCTGTCTGTAATAATTTCGGATGAGCTTTTTTCAATATATTAAACATACCTTTTGTACATTCTTTCGATGTTTTATTTTTCAACGCCTCAAGCTATACGTACTTACTATATGTATCTATGACAACTAAAATATACTTAAAACCATAATTTTGTTTAGAATGAGATTGCATGTCCATTAAATCAGCTTGCCAGAGGTCATCAATAAACCGCGTTACTACACTGTGTCTAGGAAATATTTTTCTCGCTGTCCGATGTAACTCATTAGCTATACTCTCTAAGGTAGTCATTATACTATAATATTTCTCTCACGTAGTTCTTCTAAAATAGATATTATTTCATTATTCACACCAGTATTACCAACACTTTGTGATGATGACAAAAGATTTAATCTAGTTACTAGCTCATTCGGATCGTCATAATAAACTAATTGGGTTTGAGGTAAGACATCTTTATATAAACCAGAACCTTTCATAGTCTTTGGTGATGAAGTAAAATTAAACATCTTTTCAACTACGGGATTTGCAGACATGGAACTGTTTGGTTCTGGATTAAAATCAAATGGCTCAAATTCTTGTGTTATTTTTTTGCGTTTAGCGCTTGAACTAGATAAATGATTGTTAAAAGATTTTAAATTAATTCGAGGAGTTGTATTCTCATTAATTTTACTTATTTCTTCGTTAAACTGTTTTTCCTCCATTTTCATTCGATCATACAGTGGTTTTACAACAGTCACCCATTTATGGTACCTCGAGGTTCTAGGTTTTCCATCTGCTTTTAAATGGACTCCACTAGTTTTCAAAATATTGTAATAAGATTCTATATCTGCAATAGTTGTATTTTTTGGTTCCTTCTCACATAATAAAGACCATAGTCCTGGTGTTAATTGGTAGTATTTATTAAGCAACAGTAATTTGCCGTGACTAAAAGTAACAGAATGTTTTCCTATTTTATATGAATCACTATCTTTATCATAATACATACCATAAGATTTATCATAACGTGTTGATTTAGGACGATTATTTAAAAAATTTTCATATGATGAATTTAATTCATCATCATTATCTTCTTCACTAATGCACGGGGTTTCTGCTTTATTTTCTAGTTCAGTTGACCGTGTGTTACATATTACATTTTGTTTCACATGTGTACTCAATGGTTCAATTATCGGCTTAAATGCTTCACGGAAATAGTTTTCAGAATCTATAACACCACGTTTCATTTCCATTATTTTTCGTTGTATATTTTTTTTTGATGATATTAAATTTTCCAACAAGACTTTTTCTTTGTTCATTGTAAATAATAAATTCAATATACCTGTATCGTTTGACTACTGATGACACTAAGCAGATAATAACTGTGTGACGGTATATTTATATCAACACATAAAATTATTTTATTTTAATGAATGTATGAAAACCGCATCTATACCTTCCTTCATTCATTTCTCGAGTTTTATCGATAACCATAAACCCATAATAGCTATGATTCTAGCATAAATGAGAAATTTTCCGAAATTCTGAGAAATCCATATCTGCAGACGAATGATCTTTGAATATATGTCGTAAATTTGTATCATCTTGTTTCAGTATTATTAAAAAGTTTGCGTTATCTCTTACAAGCTGTTTTGATATTTTAGAATATGTCTGTGCTAAATAAAATACGGAGCTGGCACCTGAATGCCTACCAATGCTAAAGTATTCTCTGATTACAGATTGTGGTATATCACATCATCAAAAATTATAATAGAATTTTTCTTCGTTAAGTTTGGTTTTATAACCTTATCAGCGCTTGTAAATATGAAAAAATTAGCACCTTTTATATCATCTATTATTTTTTTCAATAAAACATATTTTTCCTGATTAGAGGTTTTCGAGTATAAATAAATATTTTCAAATCTTAACCCGTTTGCAAGTGTGATCAGATTATACATTATATTTGTTTTTCCTGAGCCACTGGGACCAACTAGTATAGCACGTATAGTATCGGGTAATAACGAGCCGTGTCTTGATGGTTTTTTTACTACCTGAACATCTACATTTATTACATCTAATTTATCTTTCTGTTCGATCAAATTCATATTATTTTCATATAAATACCCTAGATTTTTTAAATTTATAGCCAGTTATAGATGGCGTGTTCAACTTGTAAGTACAATTCAAACAAGACTGGTAAAGGATTTGTAAACTCCCTTATAAATAGTCTCCCGTTCGAAGCCCATGTTTCAGGATATCAGTATTGTGGTCCTGGCACGAAATTAAAAAAGAGACTAGATCGTGGTGATAAAGGAATAAACCCATTGGATGCTGCTTGTCGTGATCACGATATTGTGTATGCAGCGAGTAAAAATTTAGACGATAGACATAAAGCTGATAAAGTGTTAGAAAATCGTGCTTGGGAAAGATTTAAAGCAAAAGATACTCCTAGAAAAGAGAATTTAGTTGCGTACGCAGTAACAAACGCAATGAAAGCTAAAAGAAAAATAGGTATGGGTTGTAAACGGAAAAGTGCTATAAAAACAAATGGAATACTAGCAGCGAAGAAAAAAAGAATCTTAAAGAAAAAGAATGGTGGTAAAATACTGATTTTAGCACCGAGACAGTCAGGAGGTGTAATTCCCTTAATACCTATATTTGCAGGATTGTCAGCACTTGGTAGTTTGATGTCTGGAGGTGCTAGTGTGTATAATGCGGTTCAAAATTCAAAAAGAAAAAAAGGTAGTGGTATGAAATCAAACAAGAATAGGTTAAGAAAAAAAAACTGATGATCACGCTACCTGACAGACCGCTTTCGTCTCAAGATATTATAAAATATTCCGTAAAGTTGAAAATCAATCATTTCCGTGGAGTGTTTTCACGTGATAACTTACCCGAAAAACCGCACGCTATTGA